CCTTGCGCTTGCCACGCAAGCACTAATTCTACTGAGCCATCTCCCCGGTCCCTTATATCTTCTAATGGCTTTCTTTAGGAAACCCTGGCTAATACACATTGATATAAAATATTCAGATTGAGCACATTTATAGGGACAGAAAACATTTGGTGGTTGCCAGGGGCTTAGAGAAAGGGGAAATAGGAAGGGACTGCCTAATGGGTGGAGGGCTTCCATTTGGGGTCATGACAAAGATTCTAGAGCTAGATGATAGCTAAGCAACCTTGTGCAAGGACCAACATGCTGAGTTATAGGCTAAAGGGGAACTTATGGGATGAGAACTACATTTCACTTAAATACCATATGAAATTAAAACCATAAATAAAAGTAAAAATAGACAAAAGCAAAGACATCAAACCTAAAGACGTGTTCATTAAAGAATGGAATCCAGGGACCAGCGAGATGGTTCAGCAGACTGAAGTACCTGCTTAGGCAAGCACAGGGACTGCGGTTTGATCCCTGGCACCACATGCCCTGCCATCCCTGCCCCCAGGGTGGACTGAGCTGGCCATGGGGGATGGGGATGGAATCCAGAATGGAAAGGCCACTTCTGCAATTTGAGAAGATTTACAGAGCATGTATCTCTGAAAGAGAAAATATCTAGAATCTTAAAAATGTCAGAACTCAGCAACCCCCAAAATCAAATAACCTAATTTAGAAATGAGTAACAGACTCAAATAGATGTGTCTGCACAGATGAGCATATGAAACGATGCTCTACATCCCTGCTCATCAGGGAAATGCCAGGCTACACCACAAGGAGGCACGGCCTCTTGCCCCTAGGATGGCTACGGGGAAAGTGCAGGAAAGCAAAAAAGGACATGGGGAGGAGGGAAAAAATCCAGAAAATAAGAAGTGCTAGCAAGGACGTGAGGATTAGAGCCATCACAACTGTTGGTGGGAACGTAAAATAGTACAACTGCTACAGGAAACAGTTTTGAGGTTCCCCCAAAGTTAAAAATAGAACTACCCTATGACCCAGCAATCCTACCCTGGGTATACATCCAAAAGAAGTGAAGGCAAGGTATCAAAAGAGATATTTGCACACCCACGTGCACTGTAGTACTATTCATAATAGCCAAGAAGGGCAGGCAACCCAAGTGTCTGTGGAAGGACGGACTAACAAAGTGCAGTACGTATGTATATAATGCACTATTGTTTAGCCTTAAAACAGAGGAAAATTCTGACACATGCTACAACTCGGATGGACTCCAAGGACATAGGTTAAGTGAAATGAGCCGGTCACAAAAGGACGAAAGCTGTATGAATCCACTTTCGTGAAGTGAGTAGTCAAATTCATACAGCCAGAAAGTAGAATAGTGGTTACCAGGGGCCAGGGAAAGGAGAGCTGTTTGATGGGTACAGGGTTTCAGTTTTACAAGATAAAAAAAGTCCTGGTTCATATGAGAATATACCTCACACGACTGAAGAGTATTACTAAAAATAAAGATCTTGTGTTTCCTTTTACCACAATAAAAAGGTCAAGACAGAAAGAAAGAGAGAGAGAGAGAGAGAGAGAGAGAGAGAGAGAGAGAGAGAGCGAGCGAGAGCAAGCGCAAGGCTAATATTTCCTCTACCTGCCCAGACCCTCTGCCAGTCCTCAAGGAACCCTCATCACAGCACCACATGTCCCTGCCCTGGAGCCAGGAATCGTGAGGGCAAGGAGCCACACCTCTCCCCGAGAGCTTATCCTCACACTTGGCTCCCAACAAATGGTGGATAAACATTTACCAAACAAATTGTGGAGCCATGCCATGGCAAGGTTGGGCAGGCCCAAATATCTCTATTTACATTCAGGTTAACTGAGGCCTGGCAAAACAAGGTGACCTATCCAAAATCACAAGCCACCATGTATTGAGGGAAAAAGAGACCCAATATCCCAGGTGGGTTGTAGGGCCCCATCCATACCATCTCCCTGCAAAATTATCTGTGATTCATTTCACTATGGAATGATTGTCACATAAGACCATTGATTCTGAACTCTCGTGGGTCATAAACCCACTTGATAATCCAATTCAATTTTGTCTTCTTGTCCTAAAATGACACACTATATGAAGCTCACATGAAAGTTTTCAAAGGGTCCCCAGCCACTCTAGGAGCTCAGGTAAGAAGTCCCTTTCCATTCTGCTACCTGGGTGAATTTGTTTATCCTGAGGATTTCCTGTGGGCATCCGCATCAACTGAGGGTCTCATTTTAAATTCACAGTCCTAGGTGCAACCCCTGTCGATCTGGCTAAGTAAGTCTAGGGTGGGACCAAGGGGTCAGCAGTCAGCACACCAAAAGATTCTCGGGCCAGCAGCTCCCCAACACACAGGGTGTTGCTGCCTTCAGAGCTCTGGCTGATGACTTCTTGAGCTCTTGGCCTTTCCTCCAGCTGCCCACCAAACCTGGATACCAGAATGTTCCACTGCAACCCAACAAAGGCCACGCCAAGCTCAAAATGAGATCTGATTGAAAAAATATACAGGGAATGTCTAGGTTAAAAAATATATATATATTACTGCCACTGTTCTCCCTCACTCATCCCACCCTTATCGCCACCAAGCACCCCCTCACACTCGCCACTGCACACCCCCTCACACTCGCCACTGTACAGCTCTCCCATCCCACTCACCCCATCCCTCTTGCCACTTTCTGAAGCGGCTGTAAAAGTCTTCTCTCATGTCTTCAGTCGCACTGTCATGGCTGCCTTGATGTCCCGAATCAATTTGAAACATTGACTTCTCATGGTCACTTTGGCTTGGGGGAAAGAGTCAGAAGTGGCACAGTGCCAATGACAGTGAATAGGGCACACCGCGATGTTTTCACAAGTCTGCCTTTCTGCTCCACGGTACTGGGCAGCAGCAGTCACCACATTTTTTTTAAAATCACATCTAGTAAAGATACTCACAAAAGAGGGCTTCCCACAACTGCTTCAGAAAGTGGCAAAAATGATGGGATAAGTGTGTTCCAAGTGAGGGGGAGTATTTGGGGAGAGGATTAACTGCCTTTTACTATAATAAATTTTTAAAACTTTAAATATTCACTGTACATTTTGATCATCCTTTGTATCTTTGCCCCATGAATGCCCCTTCCCCTCCTCAGTCACCAAATTAGAAGCCACAGCATCACCTTGGATGACCTCTACCCCCCCCCATACATCTTGACACCACCAAGACTTCCAAGGTACCTCTGGGCCCCTTTTCCCCTGTCACCCTCCCACGAACCCCGGCCTAGCCTCCCAGCTCATGCTCTCAGCTTCCGTCTGTCCCTGTCGCCCATCCTCCATCCTGCAGACCTGACCAAGCCTGCTGGTGTCAAACACTGGGAGGAGACAGGGACAAAACCAGGCAAGTACAGCTGAGCTGTGGCAGTTTCTGGGTGTGTGAATGCTCAGGCTGTGGTCGTTGTAGGAATCACAAATATAAATGGAGTCTAGAAGACATCCAAAGTTATCCTTGTGCTGCCCTTTGAGCCAGGTTGGATAGTGGAAACTCCCTGCTCTTTTCTGGTCACAGCTGGACGCCCTAGGGCTAGTGGCTCCTGTGGTGCTCACCCTGGCAAGATAAGACCTGCTGAGGATGATAAGGTGCCTGAGGGAACTACAGCTTCCTCATTGCCCATCCCCCAATCTGGTCCGTGCAAGAATCCTTTGTTCTTGCCAGCCCACAGCACCCCTGCTCACTGTTTCTGGAAGCTGCTGCACTTCACATTGTCCTTGGCACAGATGTAATCAATAAATACCACGGTTCTGGCTGCTTCATGGTCTTTTGTTCCCCAGGAGCAAATGGTTATCCGAGATCCCTGCTGCACCAATATTAAGTGTCTTGCTCTTTGTTCTCACTGTGTGCTGCTGTAACTTCACAGTTACAAATTGGGGGCTCACTACAGGGTTCTCCAACAATGGACACCGTGGAAAGGATCTGTGATAGGTCATTTATTTTTCCTTGTTTTGCCACGCTGGGCATTGAACTCAGGGCCTTATGGGTGTTGGGCAAGCATTCTACCACTAAGATACACCACAGCTCATTTTTTTCCTCTGGTTTTACTGCCTCATGGGAGGCAGAAGGTCATAGGCAGGCAGGTGACCTGACCTAGAACAAGTCCATCTGGCCAAGCAGAGACCGGAACAAAACTGGAAGCCCTTTTCCACTTCTGCAGCCCCTGCCAACCCCCAGCCCCTCCCACACTGCCCCATGGCACAGTGGCCTTCCTCTGACCTTTCAAAAGCATTTTCTCCAGGGCCTTTGCATGTGCTGTTCCCTCCATGTGGAACCTTCTTCCTAGAGAGCCTTTCATAGCTCTCCGTTGAGGTCTCACTTCAAAGGTCATCTCCTCAGAAGCCGTTTGCTGTCACCATCCTATAGATTTTCTTCCTAACCCTTCATACCCCATTACATGGTTAAGAGCTTTGCCTGGCAATGTGTGCCCTCCCCTCCCCACCCCACCCCCCATGCAGCCACCAGCAGGGCGGGACTGTAGGTATACATAGTAGATGCTCAGAACATCTTTTAAAATGAGCAAATAAATGAATAAAAGCGCAATTTTTGGGACTGCTTGCCCAAAGTCAACATACCTGATCTTGGCTTTCCTGAAAGCCAGCTCCTCTTCGTTGCCAAAGTCCAGGGACACATCCTCCGTGTCGTCCACCAGGGCCTGGAGGAACACGGGGCAGATGGTAGGCCTGCTCACTGCTGTGCACACCCGACCAGCCTTCACTAGGGAGGGGGGTGTAGAGGAGTCTTTGCACACCTCTCTGGGTTCCCCAGGGACCCCTCGGGAATGCACGGCCTTCTCCCTCCTCCTGCCACAGGGTCTCTGCATCCGTTCCCGGGCTGTGGCGCACCTCTCCCCCTGGCGGCCTCTCCAGCACCCCGGGGACTGCTGCCCAGGCCACGTCCCCCTCCCCGCCAGAGCATCAGTGCAACCCCACCTGCTTCATCTTTCGCCTCGGGACCGGTGAGCCTCAGGGCTTCAGCTGGCGCCCCGCGGGTTGGCCTAGCACAGGTGCGGGCGGGGAGGGCGCGCGACCAGGGCGCAGTCGCGAGCTGGGGAGGGGGCGCGCCAGAGGCAGGAGGGCTGGCGGGCGGGGCCAGGAGGGTCTGGGGAGCGCGCCCAGGACATTGCAGGCCGGCTTCGGCCGGCGAGGAGACAGATCGAGATACTCAGGACTGTGATCCCGGGAGGAATCGCGGATCCCGCGATGCTGTGGATGTTCAGAAACGTGGGGTGAGCGCTAAGATAGCGAATAGGCGCTGTCCTTGTCTAGCCGCCCAGTCAGAGCGGAGCAAGAGCAGGGCTGCTGAGGCCCTAATGAAACGCAGATGCCCAGGCCTGCATAGGAGTCTTAAGGGACTGGGGTGGAGCCCTGGGAGCAGCTGGGGAACCGCGGTGAGATCAGTGTGCCTCAGGTACCAGGCAAGTAGGTGCAAAATAGCTATCAATCCATGAAGGCCTTCCCTGGTGCTTCCAGGAAAGATGTATCCTCCGAGAGTCTTTCGGGCCCAGTGCACAGTCACTACCTCTCCTCTGCGCCCTCCTACTCCTACTCCTTAGGAGCAGAGGCAGAGGACAGCAGGTATTAAGGTGATAAGGCACTAGCCCCCTCTTTGTCAGTCTCTCTCCCACAGAATGTCTGGTCCCCACTCTTGGTGACACCCTAAGGCCATCCCATTCTTCACCTGACCCCAGAAGGGCCTGCCAGGTGTTTGTAAAGGAAGAACTTTCCTCCTGAGGGCAGATGCCATCTGCAGGAGCCACGTCCCTGTGGAAGTATTTCCCCACGTGTACGGCAATCCCTATAGCTTCCAGGCTCCAGGTGGCTCCACAGGTTCTGTGGGAATACAGTTCCTGGGAGTAGACCCGTGCCAGCGTTTCTAAAGCTTGCAGGTGTTGGGCAGCTGAAAAAACTCAGGCTTCAAATTATGTACCTCGCACACCTTGCAGTGGAGCTGAGAGTCTGCTGTTCCTTCTGTTCGGTTTTGAACCTAGGACCTTCACACTGAACTACATCTCTAATCCATTTTGTTGGTTTTAGTTTGAGGTGGGTCTGACTAAGTCACTAAACTAATTAAGCTGGGCTCCAGTCTGTCATCCTCCCACCTCAGCCTTCCAGAATGCTGGGATTACAGGCATGTGCCCCCATTTCCAGCTGAGAGTCTGTTTCAAACAGCTCCCAGCAAGGGCTGAGGCTGCCACACTGGGGAACACCCTTTGGGTTGTTAGGATCTAGGCCCACCAGGCCTGTTTTCTAAAAGGACCCTTGGCTCCAGGCACAGAAGAGCCCGATGGATGGAAAGGGGGTTCCCTGACTCCCTGATGGAGCCCTAAGGGGAGGTAGGGAAGGAGGTCTCACAGAGCAAGACAGGTGGAGGTGAGAAGTCGTTGGAGAACATTTAGGGGCTTTTCCTCTGGCTCTGACAGTCACCAGCTGCTGGTGTCTGTTGAATGGGGTGAGAAGGTGGGAAACTCCCCTTGGAAGCCCCCTATGGGCCAACTGACACTCTCAGCCATCAGGGCGGGGATGCTCAGAAACGGCCATAGTGCCCACCATCTGGAGGTCCCTAGAAATATGGGGTCACAGTGGGCTGAGGATACAGAGGATTTGAGGGTGGGGTAGGAGTTCCCC